GCCATCCGTACCCCCGCCGCCGGCTCCGCGGTGTCCCCGTCCCTGCGACCTGCTTCCCGGTGTCCCCATCCCCGTGCTCTGCTCCGTGGAGTCCCTATCCCTGCGACCTGCTCCCCGGTGTCCCCATCCCCGTGCCCTGCTCTGCGGTGTCCCCATCCCAGCTCCGTCGTGCCCGCGTCCCCGTGCCCTGCTCCATCCCGCCCGCATCCCTGTGCCTGCGCTCCGCCGTGCCTGCCCGCCAGCCTGCGCAGAAAACCACTGGAGGTGGTTGTAAGGGAAAAATCCATCTCCCTGCTGCTGATGCTGACCCTCTCTGGAAGGGTTTGGCTCTAAGAGCACAGACCAGGTCCAGCGTGGTTGGGAGCAGTGGCTTCACCTGCAGAACCAGGCCAGGCTGTTTCAAAAAGTGCAGCTGTTGCATTCTCCTGAGGGTGACAGCATCCTCTTGAGGGACCGGATTCTCTCGCACCACTTTGCAGACAGTCCCCGCTTCCTACTGCTGCCATCAGCTGGAGTTTTAGCCTGGGTTTGGTGGGCAGAGCTGGCCAAAGCACTGCTCTGCCACACGGAGGGTTGTATTTTCCAGTTGGTTGCCGTGGTGGGTTAGGCAAGAGGAGACAGGAGGGTTACGGGAATGTTTCTGGCTGGCGGGAGAGGGACCCCCCAGATTCACAGGAGCACGTGGTCAGCTGAGGAGACTTTGCTGCCCCCTGAAACAGCAGAAGCTCAGATGCACCCACATAGTTTCACTTGCCAGACCACAGGGCTTCACCTCTTCATTTGAGAGGCTAGAAAGGCAGTGACAAAAAAAACCTTTTTTTTTTTTTTTTTAATCATGAAAAGATTTTCCTTACGTTATGTGCTTTAAGAGAGTATTAGAATAAGTAGTGGCAACAGGTTGGAGGATCTTCAGTGGCTTTAAAGAGGCTGATTTTCATAAACTCATAAAAAAGACAAGTATGGACTATTATATTTTCCACTTTTGAAACTTTTTCTGGTATGAAGCAACCATAATTTTATGACCCAGAGGGATATTCTGGCCACTTGAGGTAGGGCAATGCTGTTCCATTTCAAAGTGAAAAAACAAGCCATCTATATTTTAGGCTCGTGCCCTGTGTTTCTTGCCTTCCCCACAGGGAAAGCTCCCATGGCAGTCACGGGAATCCTGTGGGAGGACGGAGATGGTTGGCAGAGTTTGACTT